CGTTCGCCACGTACAAAAACGACTTTAATTTGAAAACTTAACAATTTGAAGAATTTTTATAAGTAGTTTTTATTAATATGGTCGGAACATTCTATGCTACTTGCACAGCAACCGGCTATCCTTGTTTCTCTATTGTATATTTACAAAATCTTATTTTTGTTTATCTTGTTTTGGCGCATGCTTTATTGGCTTGGTTGCCTTATTTTGCGTTGGTTGAAGGGAAAGAAAAACATTTGTGTTTTTTCGTTTGTTTCCGGAGAGGGAGCGTAATTTTTCAGGGTTTGAAAACTTTCAAAAAATTTTGCGGCAAAAAGCAATTGTATTCATTAGGATCGGGTAGATTCATCTATTTTTAAGTTACGATCACCTATGATTTTTTGGATTTGTATTCTATGGAAACTGTTCCTACCAATCTTGGTTTTTACACGGAGCTCTAATTGCGCTCATCGAGAACAAAAGAAGAGATGGTGCGAAAATAGCTTCTGTTGTTTTAGTTTTGATACTAGATTCAAATAGATTTTAGAATTCTAGCGCATACAACTTTACCTATTCATTCAGTTTTTCCTATTTTGGGATAGTTGTTGAAATGATCTTCTTGAAGTGGTTGAAAACGTAAGATGATTGTTTGCTTTTGAAACTCGAGTTCAAAAAATAGTCAGTCGATTCTTCGCCTCTTCTCATTATAGAACCCTAGTCAGCAACAAAATTTTTGCTGTGCCACACTAATTTTTGTTTTATCTGGAGCTACAATTTTCTGGTGAAGATCCTTTTTTGGGTTACTGGAGTTCGTTCACGTCTTTCCAACCGACTGATGTCTATTTTTAAATGATAAATATTGATAATTGCAGTTATTTGATTTTAGCTATTAATATTACTACATTTACTTCGTTTTTGATTTATCCTGCTTTTGAGATTGGGTATTGTAGAATACCAAGTGGATCAATTTACCGTGTTTTCCAGTTTTCTCAGTATTAGTGATGAGATTTATCAAGAACTAACTGTCAAAATTATCAAAAATTGCTTGTTTGAAAGTAAAAATAGTTTTTTTTGGATTCCGCGAGTAAAGCTATTCTAATTAAAGTTTCTGTGAGATTAACCACGCGTTTCCAATCTATGAAAGTTACGTAAATTAAACATCGCAAGGGTATAAAATAGGACTTCATAAGTTCAAGCAAGTTGTACAAATCAGAATCAATCCTTGGACACGTATTTTTTTCAAACTTGTCTTGCCATATTTTCAAACTTGTCTTGCCATATTTTTCCACTCATCTTGCCATTGTTTTGATTTTGTCATATTTATAGAAATAATATGTACTTATAAGTACCAACTTGTGTTGTTTTCAAGTTTTTATGAATCAGTGCCAATTTTCCTGCTGCTAAGGAACATCCTCTGAATATTTAAATATGTCTTGAATATTAAATTGAAAAGATATTTGAACATGTCTTGAGTTTGAGACAAACTTGAATATCAAATTAAAAAGGCATTTAAACATTTCTTGAGTTTGAGACAAAATTTAATATCAAATTAAAAATGGCATTAAAAATGCATGGTTTCTTTTCAACTTCGGTTACACACTATGGAGCTTAGCTGTCTGAAGTTGTTCTATCCAGGCACCAGATTTTGAGCGACCGCTGTTTAGAATAAGAGTGTTTACTGATGAAATGAAACCACGCTGAGATTAAAACTGTCATCATATTTGTTGTCGCTTGCTACTTTCGGATTGATATTTCTGATAATGTTTGATATCGTAGGTGTAGTAGTTTCATTAATTTACCTTCGTGATTTGCTTGCAAGTTATGCTGTTTTTGAAATCAGTTAAACTTGGAAGCCAGATTGGAAGTGGGGAAACTTTTGCGAAATATATGCACATTTAGTAGTTTACGTTAAGGCCTAATGTAGTCATGACAGGGCATCCCTTATAACTGAGTTTTTTTTTTGGGGGGGGGGGGTATGTGAATATTGAATTTTAAAAAAAAAACTTAATCCAATTTCTACAGGAAATAATGAAGTAACTCAGTAGAAGAGGTCAAAGAGTTTCACCTTTGTTTAAATTCTGGTGAACTTATTTCATGAAATATGAATAGGTTACTTTCATTTGATTTGGTATAGGTTAATTGGCTGAGGAGTATTTGCGTGGAATATGGAGGGCATACTTTGAACTTTATTTTGCATGTATTTGAGTTCTGCTGTAAAGGAAGTTTTTAATCTGTTAACAGATTCCAAAGTTAAACGTTGTTGTTTGTTTGGCCTAGTTAGGAGGTAAATGTGGTGTTGTATTTTGAAACGTGATCGTTTTTATAGAAATGTAAGTTGGCTGTTTTTGTCGTGTGGTTGTGAGATCAATTGAGATAACTGAAATGGATACAGACGCAGTGATATTTGTAATTGGTTATCGATTGAGATCGTCTTGTTTGACCGCTAGAAACAACACGGGATTGAGGTCGAGCAGAGTCGGTACTAAAAATGGGCGGGCGCTGTAGAGTGACCTTTACATCTACATCGGACTGACAGCCGAACGACCTTTACCTCAGATCGCCTGTCCAAAAAATTGCTATATTTAAGAACCCAAGCAAGTTCTGACCTGGGTTTTTGTGAATTATAACACATTCGTGCATTCGCCTACAGGAATAAACCAATTATGATGGTTTCTTCGGCGATAATAGAAACTCAGCCTGTATTTCTCCAGAGTTTTGATAAAGCTCCAAAGTGGATCTCCGACGAGTTTCAAAAAAAAAGAATTTGCTTTCAGTAATTTTAAACTAATAAAAGCTATGAAATTTGAAGTATATTTTCTTGAAGTCAAGTTAAAAATTGTTCTCAGATTTATTTGGTCCAAAAGTTTTTAAAACTTAAAAAAACGATATTTGGATTTTTTTTTGCCAAATTAATTAGTTTCAGAAATGGGCTTTTATTTTTAGAATTTAGAATGAATTAAAAACAATTCCCCATTCATCCCGTTTTCTCTAATTCAGTTAATTTTATCCAAAAAAGTGTCAATCATTGAAGATTGTTGCAATTCACAAAAGCTTTAGCCTGATGTATTTACGAAATTCTTAATTCGCAAAATGCCCATTAAAATGATAATTGTTTGCGGTTTCCTTTTGTGGTTGAGTTCATTGACTCTTTTTAAAACCGTCTGATGGCTATGTTTCCAATTTAGAGTGAGTACAGTTCTTAATGAAGCCAAGAAAAATTAATGTTTGAGTTATGATTTCTTTTCAAATTCAATCCATTGCTGAATGAAGTGCATATTTTGTTCTCAAATAAAGAAAAGTTCTAATGGCCCGAAAATTGTGAAAGACCTTTATCTTAACGCTTACGTCAAAATTGTATTTTTTCCGAATTCTCGGTGGCATAAAAAGTTATAGATTGCAGTTTTCTCAAAGTTAGTTTAAGATTTATCAAAAAGCTTAATTAAGCTTGCGATTAGCAAGCGTTATCAAACCGCAATATATTCTGTTTAACAATTTAATTAACAGAATCTTTTGTATCCTGGTTCATAATGAATTCGAGCTTTTTTTCAAACTTGAAATATTCGTTTCCAAAAGAATGTCGGCCTATAGTTAATCTGCTTATATTTGTACGTAATTTTCAATTTAGATGATTTCAGTGTTTTGAAGTACTCCTGCAGTTTTTAATTTTACTAGCATTCGTACACTTTGCTGTGCTTGTTTTGTTTAGCTTAAAAACTTTTTTGGGCTTAAATCATTTCGATTTATATTTTATTGGCTTAGTGGCCTAATTTGGGGTCATTTCAAAGAAACAAAGAAAACATAAGTTTTATGCTTCATTCCGGATTGCACACAATGCTTACATTCTTAGAATAGAAATTATAGTTCGAAGTTTTTCATGACAAAATTATGTTACCGGTTCTACGGGAACTTATTTAAGTTTCATCGGCTCAGTTGCCGCTTGTTCATAGTTTTTTTTTATTTATCATTAATTGCCGTCGATTGTGTTTCTGGACATGCAAATAGAACATGATTCCAAACAATTTTTCGAATTTTTCAAGTTGTGTTTCTTTTTCGGTTTGTTTTTGGACTTAGTGGCTTTTCTTTTGTCTACTAGCTTGGACTGCTATTTACGTTGTATCGCAAGTGGTGCAAAGCTCAGCTTTGCCTCTGTGTTTAAAAAGTCATTCATGATATTCAATTTTGTCTTTGTAATTCGAAAAATCAATTTTTTCCAGGTTTCTTGAGCTGATGGACGCTTTTCCAACTGTTTGTTGGCTATTTTTAAATTTTTTTTACCTCAGATGAGTTCGTTTGGCATAAATTTTCAAATTGTGATACGGTTTTGAATTTTTTTTCACGGTGTCAAAAAAATGAATTTGTTTTACTTCAGAGCGAAAAGTTACGCTTCACTTATGTAGAAATTAAGCTGTTTTCACCGATGAAAAGTTTATATTAGACGTTATTAAAACCATTAGTAAAATGTTTCAAGTTTTTTTATTCATATAAAAATATGTCATAATTGAAAAAAAAATAGTATAATTTATTTTGTCAAAAGCTTTTGTGGTCGTACAACCGTTTATTAGCTTGCTTTGATTTGGTTATTCATTGTGCAGCTGTATTCAGTTGAGTTCATTTGATTCATCGCATTACAACCCGTTCAATCGAGATTCGGTTGATATTTACAAGTTTTCTTGCTGATGAGAAATATCTTTTTTAATTTTCTTTGCTTTACTCTAAGTTTCGAGGGATAATTTAATAATTACGAAAAGTTATTTTGTATTTATATGTTAATTTGTACGTTTATGCGGTTTTTTGTTTGCTCATGAAGCTCAAGTCATAACAGAAATCTCTTCCACTCGGTCCTTGAAAAACAAAATAAAAACTAAATTTATATATATTTTTTCTTTTTTTTTGAACTAATGTTTGTAAAGTGATCGTGGTCGATGCTTTCTGTGCCTCTGGCACGCCAACCAGCTTCTCTTGTTTCTTATGTAGTAGTTGTTCATGTTGAAAATGCAAAGAGGTGTGTTGCTGTTTTGTTTCAGAGCAGAAGCTGAATCTGGTATTGTCTGCATCTCCTGGAGATACTACCGACACCCTTCTAGTAGACTTGGTGAGTGAACTGTCTCAAAATAAGTGAACTGTCTGACAACTGCTAAGTTGGGCATATTAGTCCGACGTTTGAAGTGTGTACCAGAACCATTCATCGGTAGAAAGACAAATACATATTTACAATTTTGATCTTAAATGAACTATTAAATGAAGTATCGGGTTAAGGTAGGGGTGGATGGATGCCCCTCTCAGAGCTTCGACTGTTTCACCACCCTAAGGCTCCTTTTTGGAACTGTTTCTGGAAATTCAATTTTTGACCGACAGAATCTTCTCTTTTTGTAAGCGCTCATTTTGGAGCCAATTGATAATAATTTTGAAAGGACGAGCACGCTGAGAAACGCAATTTTTGGTCAACACTTCCACCAAAGCTCACCGTTTTTGGCCTGTTTTCGAAAATTTGCCTGCTCAACCGCGTATACTTGATGAATTTCATGTTCTTAAATCGGTCGGCTGAGTTTGGTGTAAATGAGAGGAATCATCATTAAAAAAATAAGCATGAAATTTGAAGTGTTTTGCAGTCATGGGTTTTGTCTCCCTCTTTTTGACCCAAATACGGTTTCCTTTTAAGGCAGTTCAAGTTTGATTTGAACTGGTAGTTTGGATTGGACTTGGATTTGCTTTTGAAACAAGTTGGACACACTAATCCCGAGTTTGAAGTGTGTTTAATAAACTGAATTGTTTCTGTTTGAAGCCAACTTAATATTATGCTTCTCCTTTATGATAAACACTACTCGCGGAACTTGAGGTCTATATCAGACGGTGTTGTCTATTTAGAGAACAACCGTGCTAATTAAAAACATACCAACTCTGTCCCAATCTCTAACAGTCTGCCCTGTTTCCTGTTTGTTCCCAGTAGCTTAATCCGCCCCAGGCTCACCTCCTTTTAAGGAAATGTAAACAGGTCGAGATAGGTGTAGAGCCGGACTAGTTTGAACTTGGGCGCAATTGGTAAGTCTCTTATTTGATTTGAGCGATGGTGTTAGTCGCTAGAGTAGGTTTTTGAGATGCCCAACGCACCCAAAACAGAGTGCTCTGTTAACAGAAAAGTTTAAATCAGTGAAAGCTGGTTCACCGATACTACACCACATGAAGCGAATCTAAACAAAGCGCGGCAAGCGTTTGCTACCTGCCAATGCCGTGTATTTGACATGTTTTTTTTGTTAATGCTATTTTAAGCTGAAGTTTTGGCTATCCAGGCATAAGTTTTTTTCGGCTATCAGAGTATTTGGCTAGCCTAGAGCCTTAAATCCATGTAGGTTTCAGACCTGGCAATTTTATCTACATAGCAGTGTTTGCATTGTAGTTTTCACTGCTGTGTTAGTTAAATTAAGTTAAACAACAAGAGTGTGGTGGTGTGTAAACCGCAAGTACTTCCAGACTCGTAAAAAAGACACTTTTTTGGACAACTTGGTGGCTAAGTTATTCCTGTTAAATATAATGATAATACAGTGCCATTTATTGTAAATAGAGGTTATGTGTTATTTGTTTATACATAGGGTAAGTGATCGCCCGCGAGCCTCAAACAAGCTTTCAAACTAACACGTTCTTTGTTCGGTGCTCAAAAAACTATTTATTATTGCACTTTCTAGTAAATAAACAGATAGGCCCATAAATCAGTGAATGGCAATAGTTGAAATCAGACCGCCTGGGAAAACCGGCGGATTGTTTAGCCAGCCCTGGCTGGGTATTTTGGGAAAAGCTGTGGCAGGTAGCGGTTAATCCAGCTGATTGAATGATTAAATATATCTGTTGTCTTCCAGGCTTGTTCTAAATGTGCCAAAATTGTACTTTATAGGGTTTCATTTGACCCAAATCTGCGACGGCGCTGGAAACAGCCAGCGTCAAATCTATTTATGGCCTGGTATGTTCCAGCTAATCCCTAAAATCCCAGTAGCCGATATGTCTGTCTTAAACACTCCTCAGTTGTGACTACTTTAGACAACAATTAAGCGTTCCTTAAGTGTGTCTGTTTATATTAACTAGCTAAATCTTCCCTTCTACAGCTAGGTTGAAACCAAAGGGGATTAGAGCGATCTATGTACAAGGGGCATAATTGACACTGATCTTGCCACACCGAGATGGAAGGATAGTTCCTGCAAACTGGGCTACCATGGCAACAGATATGAGCCGTTTAGTCATAAGTGGGTGTGAAAATAGATCGCCTAGTCATCAACACCCAGCACTGATGTTCTACATTAGTAAGAGTCGATGAACATAGCGAATACTCTCATATGGGTGCTGCTGAATTTTTTTTCAAGAAAAATCTTTAAATGCTCTAATAACTACAGAAGATGTACTTTCATACATATTAATGCATTTATGAGTACACTAAAAAATATGTGCAATTTTTGAGTTCAATTTAATTTCATCTGCTGAAAATTAGGTAAATTGCACTCTCTAAAAACGAACGTGGAATTTGCATAAAAAACGTGATCGACTTCTACTTTCGAAAGTGGAGTTCAACTTTTAGATTTCTCCGCGGAATCAAAGTTTTGCCTAATGATCCAGTTTTCTCCAATTGGGTTATCATTAAATTTTCAATCATAAATTGTTTTTGAAATTCAGATAACTTTAAGGCCATGTGTTTTTCTTTTTCAAAGTGTGTGTCGAGAAAAACCGGTTTGAAATTTTTGATTTTTGGTCTGATTTCGAGGTCATGAGGTTTGTCCAAAGAAGGTTTGAAGACTTACAATAGCTTATTTTAGCCGTGGAAATTTATTTACACTCTTAAGTTTTTTTAATAGTTGTTTGCTTTTCGTTTTTCGTATTCGAATTGGTATTCGAATAGTTGTTGAATTTTAGCTAACATTAAATTCTGGTCTTTTGTTCAAATAATATATTTAATTGATTTATTCATTTGTTTTACAAGCATATTATAATCTGCTTTTCAATCATGTCACTTGAATAACACTAAAAACTTTTCCTTGCAAGTTGCAAAAAAAATTTAGGCCGCTTACAATAGCCTTTTTTTGCTTTATTCTAATTTAATCGAGTAAAATTAGTTTTTGGAGATTTTTGATGCCATTTTGGCAATCAAAAACTTAGTTAAAATATTGAATTTTTTTTTTGTTTTTAGTCATCCTTCTTCAACATCTATTGTCCTGTTTGCCTGTGTTACTATGACTGTCGAATATGCCAAAATAATAGTTTTTCGTCAGATCCTTTTATCACACCACGCAGAAACAACTACACTAATTTGAAAAAAAAACTCATTTTTCTTGCAGTTTTTTAAAGACCATGGTAACCGGCTATCCAGTAAACGGCTTTCATTGTTTCACTTTTTCGAACGTTTTTATTGCATAATGTGGACCAACTTTCTTCAATACTTGCGCAGTAACCGGCTGTCCTTGTTTCTTTTAGGATTACAAGTTGAAATCGTAGTGATTAGTACTGACAAGCAAATTTTATCGTAATTATTTTCAAAAGAATCATGATGACTTCGATATTTTAGTACTTAAAGATTCTGAGTAACGAGAAAACAGTTTCTTGCAAAGCTTTATGTACCGTTCAAAGCTTTATTTTTTTGCTTGCAAATCATTTAGTTCAACTTTTCTTGAATTCATTGTTATTGCAAGATAGGTCCGGGCAGATTGATTCGGGTCCTGTTTCTGTGCTAGATCGCATTAATATACTAAGTTCGTATCCAAATACATAACAGATTCTAAATATCCCTCGCCTCTTTGAACGAAGATTGTTATCGCGTGAAAACAAGTCGCCCTAAATAGATCCCAGCAGGCACGCTTTCATTTTGAAGATTCGAGGAAATTAAATTGATAATGGGCTAGATACACTCGTCTTAGTTGTAATAATTTCCACACTCTTCCCCCTTTAAGCTGCTGAGGGTCCAATTACTCCAGTCCCTCGCCTACTTAACGCCTAGACGGATAAACTCAGTCGGAATCATTGGCTTAAACGGAGACAACAGTTTTACCACCTGTTTTCCGTTTGGTCGACGACTGGGCTAGCTGCAATTTACTGCTTTGAAAACATCAAATTTATTCCTTTTCAAACGTTTGAGAAATAGCGAGAAATGAATTCAAAGTTGTGAGACTAAATAAGGCGTTCATTGTTTTCTAAGTTTTGAAGCAGTGTGTGCAATTTTTATTGTTTTTCAAACATTTGGACGCTTTTAAAAACTTGAAAGGATCTTTAATATCAGCATGTGTTTTTGTATAACTACCTTTAGGGTTTTATATTAACGAAACAGAGGTTAGGGCATTTTGCAAACAAAATTCCAGTTTCTCAACCGGGTTCAATTGATTATTTGTCTTGACCCGATTTGGAATCTTTGAAATTAGCTTCCGAGAATCTATTATGTGAGTCGGGCTGATAGGAATTGAAACGTGATCCAATTATGGAAATTGGGCCGTGTTCGAAAATGGTAAGATGTGATCGAATTGGGTTAGATTTGATGGTAGGTATTATTTGTGGGTACAAAATGAGTCTTGCTCATAAATAGGTAAGCTTGGTTCTTTTGGCAACATGGTATAATCGGATTCGTTTTCTCCGATTTATCGCTGACATAAATTGTGCCAAATTGCTGTTGTGATCCATTTCAAACAACTTCGCTCCCATTCGCTTTTATGGCTCTCCTTTTTAACTGTAACATACCACAGGCTTTTCCTCCGGCGAAATAAGGTCCGTAAATGGGGCCTCACCCTTTTCGAACGTTCGCATCTCAACTAAAGCTACTTTTATCACTACTAAAACGCAGCTTCTTAAAACATCAGTTGACCCTGTTGTATATATTGACCCAATAAATTACTGCGCAGATTCAGGAAGCCATTAATTTTTACGACCCAATTTCAACCCCCAACTCTCAATCAGCAGAGCAAAGTGCGTCGAATTTGAAGTGAATTCGAATCTTGAAACGACATCGGTTACAGCTACTTGTCAAAAAGCTTATTTATTTTGCTGGAGCTAAACGTTTGAAACAATTAATTTAAGTTTTCAGTTTAGTTTAAGAGATAAAGCGAGAATGTTTCACAATAATGAGATAAC